ATCATAAATGCCTTAATTGTACATTCATAATTGCAAATGAAGCTGTAGTTACGTTATTATGTTTGTTTCCTATAATTTCATCTTGGTCTCATCAGTTCTGGATTCGTGTTCAAATTACCTGGGAGATGATTCGGCCAACCGGTAGTCTTTCTCATGAATACTGTTACAAACCATTTCTGTTTGTAAGTTGTGATTTGGAATTTACAAACTACAATGCAAAGGTATAAGAAACTGCCTTTTTGAGAAAGAATATAGGTTGTAAATTATTTCCCTTAATACTGATGCGCATGACATCAATAGAAGTTTTAAGTAGCACCTGGTGAAGCTACCGTTTTAGTGTAGCATATGACATTTTGCCATTGAACATTTGGTGGCAAATCTGTGTAAAGTCGAGTCACCCACATCGCCTTGGCTTTCTGGTGAATAATCTTCTTAAATAATCTTCTTAAATCTTCTTAAATAAATATATAAACATGCATATATATATATATATATATATATATATATATATATATATATATATATACATAGGCAACAAATTCATGAGGCTCCATTTATGGAACAAGAGACTCGTTTCCTGCATCAGATGGCCGCGGTTCCAGATTAGGATGTCCTGTTTTGGGATAACAGGGTCTCTTGTCTAGACTTAGAGACGCCTTCGTGAATCGGAAGCATCCTGTTCTGGGTGAGGAGGACGCTCTCGCCTAGACTTGGAGACCCCTTCGTGAATCGGAAACATCCTGTTCTGGGCTAGGACGCTTTTTGCGTAGTGAGGTACGTTTATGGAACAGGAGGCCCTGTTTTAGGATAGCGAGACCTTGTACTGGATAATCGGAAGAGTACATGCTAAATTTTGGAACTGTCAAAATATGTTTACTTGGATATGATACATTTGGATATTTTCTATCGTGAAATCGACACTGCTCCCTGTGAGAAGGCCCTATTTTGCTTTCAGGGAGCACGCTGGAAAATGCTGCTCCAGCTCAAAATTCGGGGCGCCGTCCCTGCATACTATCTTAAAAGTTTGAAGCCACGTAAGTTGTTCAGTGCATTACCGAGGAACATTGTTCGCACAGATAAAATAGTAGTAATAGCCTTATTCCTCGTAGAAGAACCAGGAGAATGGATGTATGGTTGGACTGATATTTCGGCAACATGTCTTTGTTGAAACAATAACCATAGTTGATATTTCCATTCTCCTAGTTTTTTCTCCGAGGAATAAGGCTATTACCACTGTCTTGCCAGTTTGAAGCTACTATTAGCATCAAGTTGATTTTGTACCAAATAGCATACTGTGAGCAAATGATGTTCTTGTGATGACAACTCCCTTGAGGCCCGATGTTTGTTAAGCCAATCTGCGTATGTTGGTAGGCTTTTCAAGAGATAACACAGGTGGGAGTCAGGGAATAAAATGGACCGAAATGCGTGGTAGTCTTTTGAAGTACATGGTGGTCGAGATGAAAGGAACCAACTTTTTCCTCCTCTGTGGCGCAAATGTATTCGTCGAAAATTCGTTACCCACTGTGGTGGCATTCCAGTGACAACTCAACGGCAAAACACGAACAGCAATAGTGACACAGTGGCAGTGGCAGCGAAAGTGACAGTGACACAGTGGCACTGACAGAGCGACAGTGACACTGTGACAGTAACATATTGACAGTGGCACAGTGATAGTGACACAGTGACAGTGACGCAGCGTCAGCGATACAATGGCTGTGGAAGTGACACAGCGACAGTGACACAGTGACAGTGACACAGCGACAGTCACAGTGACAGTGACACATTGACAGTGACACAGTGTCGGTGATACAGCGACAGTGACATAATGACAATGGCACAATGAACGTGGCATAGTGAAAGTGACATCATGACAGTGACAGTGATTCACTATCATTCAAATCGTGACTACTTACGATGCACCAGGACCAGATGGGCACCCTGGCGGCAGTCCAGGTTGCGCAACAGCTGAATATGCAGCAGGTAAGCCCTACCCCCCCCCCCCCCCCATCCGATCGTAGGATTGCGAACAAGGACAGAGCTGTGTGGGGATCGCCGCACGTGCCGCGATGCTCGGTAGGGCGCACTCTGCCTTCTGGCGTCATCTGACCGTTAGCGCCGCCGCCGCCGCCGCACGCAGACGGCAGACCACTGCCGGCGGGGACGAACAGCGAACGCCTAAAGCGACTCGAATTCATCCCGCGACGGGTGAATAAATTGGAAATCAGGCACTCTCTAACAAGCGGAGCAATCGGGATGGTCGAGTACATGTCGGGGCGGGACGGTTTGAAGTACAGGTCAGCGGTACATCTTTCGCCAGCTTGTACCACAAACAAGGGTCTCGGGGAATGGAAGCAACAGATTCTGTGTCATAGCCTGCAGGGTGAAATCGACATTGGGATGGCACTAATCGGCCTTTGCAAAGAAATCTGGCCATGTGCGCACCTTTCACACTTCGAGCTTACTCAATATAATAAATGCCTCTTGGTAGCCTCGTTTAGCCTCTACCCCCCCCCCCCCCCGGGTACAATGAAGGTCATTCATTATCAACGTGAGAACTTTCACCTCATTGTACCGAAACTCGTAAAGTCCAAGACCTTTCTCGCTCATATCAATTTTCATCACGTCGTAAAGCAGCGGTCGTGCCATTTTTTCCTTAATTCGGGCACTGGAGAACTGTTCGGCCACCAGCCTTTGCCTACTCTGTCCTCCTAGCTATTGACATGCCTGTTGAGAACGTTGTGCAAGTTCAGGTCCACTGTTACACATACGTACATCCTGGCCATGTATACGAAAAATTGTTCCTAGCCTTTCGTCTGTGTCAGGTCACGACAATCCGCATAGAAAGCGCATTGGAACCTCAGGGAACCATTCATGAAATAAATGCACCTATTCTCGTTGATCACCTATGATCCGTTTCTTCAACGGAGCATACCACGTTTTTGTGCTTTTCACTTGTCGCTACATCAGACGCGCATGATTTCATCAGCGGTGCCATTTTCTTGAAATCCTTCTGAATAGCACAGAATTTGATTCGAAGTAACCGACCAGGCAGACGGTATTCCATTTGATTCTCTGTTCATCACTATGAAAGTAATTCATTTCCTTCGTCTTGTTTTTTCAACATGTGTGTTCTACAATGTTTGAGACACACTTTTGTGTCAAACTGTCTGTATGATAGATGCGAGCACGAAACTATTATACCACGGTTTCAACCAAACGTTGCACTATGGTTTTGATTTCTATCTTATGGCATTTATCACAATGGTTGTTTTCAAGGCGCACTTTGGCTTTGGGAATGGGAGTATCATGTGTTCCACGTGACGCACTGGTTCGAGGCTTAACCAAAAATCTCTCGGTAACAATCCTCTGCCCGCTGGTTCAGTCACAAATGTTATTTTTATTCGCACCAGTGGAATTGGGCACAGACGTTGTTATGACGACAGTGGTCGCGTCTGCAGAGAAGTAGCGTTGTGCTGTCGTAAAGGTTTTACAGCATCGTTTTTACTCGAAAATAAACACAATTAAATTTTTTATTGTATCTGAACGGTGTTGCAGCGGCGCTATTCACCGCTATTATTGGACGTAACTTGTCTGTAGTTTCACTAGAGGTTTCTAACATATTCTTAAGTGTGCCACAAAGGTGGAACACTTTCCTCACTCTAAAAAGTTTTTTTCTGTAAAGTGCACAACATTTCAACCGTTTCACAACGTTAGGCTGCATATGGGCTTGAAATGAGAAAATGCTCCTAATAAGTAAAACAATTTTGTGACCGACGAAAGGTTAAAACGGTTTTTGACTTAGCACATCGGGGACAACAGAAAAAAAGCCGAAATCTGGGGATATATTGTGAGGGAAAGTTACTTCAATATAATGGGCTCAGTCCCCCAAACAATTTCAGAAGACAACAGCGTAGGGCCCTACGAGTCCATGCAAAGAAATCGAGGGCAATACCCACGAGGAGAACGTTGTTTATTGTTGCGATTGTCATTAGCGATCGGAGCGCCCCAACAAGTGGACATATAGGGTCCATGGAGGGCGTAATTGACCCTAAATCTCACCAACTACCAACCTTTTAATCAGAGAAAAATTACTTTATCTGCTGATGAGCTCTCCATTTTTGCTTGCGCTAGCTCTGCGTCGCCTGGGGGCTCGAGAACGACGAATTTTGTGTTCAAAACCTGCGCCCATCCGGCCAGCTGCCGGCCCCTTCTAAGTCCAAGGGGCAGGATCCCTGCCTCCCTCTGGGTCAAAGACGCAGGCAGGGGGGGGGGAGGGGGGTACAGGTGGAGCATGTCCCTACCCCTTAGGTCCCGAGTATCCCGAAGGGCTCCCCGTGACCGATGATTAATGACCCGACTTTAGGGCCCGGGCCGATTGAAGAGCAAGCCACAGGTCGTGTTAAGGGGTCCGGCCTACTTTTTAGCAAATGGTAACTGGAAACCGGTCTGCAAGACCAGCCAGCTCCCTAAATAGCCTATCAAACAATGCCGTTGTTGGCAAATGTAGTCATGATGGTTTTTACCGCCATGATCGTTATTCGAAAACGGGCACCATCTTGTTTATTTTGGAGTAGGAAAGAAGCATATCAGGTGTTTTTCCTACGAAATACAGTGAAAGTGACTGGTCAAGTTCATGGAATACAATCTGACATTGGTCAAAACCGCAGCCACGCTTTCCAATGTTGACACATTAGATACTTTTTCCGGTATTATATAAACATTTCGGGTAAAAAACATGGGTGTATAGAGCTCAGACCATTTTCTGGGCATGCTAAGTTCAAGGGAAAGTGCCTGACTGAAATAGCATAGTGCCATAGGTTAACTTTACAGTTATATAGCTTGCGGCAAAGAAACTTTGTAGGCATACGAAAAGTAAGGTTTTCCTGTTTTTCGACTTCCTGACATGGTGGCTATTCTGGAGTTGGTAGGCTTATATTAATACAAAAACAACGCATGCGAGACATTCCGCTGCTGCGTGGCGCTGTCCAAAATCCGGGGGTTAATTAGCCTTGCACGTGTGTGAACGTCAAAGGCTGAATGACTACGTGAAATTGTGATGAGGGGCAGCAAGTAACCAACAACATTTATTGGTAAAGCATTCATCTGAGGTTCTAAGCAGCTGTTTTCGCCACGGTGGTTTACGCGTTATGCCATTGACGGCGATGGCATCACGTGCCGAAACTCGTGTCAGGACAAAATCAATGCTGGGTCAATGCTTGAAGTTGTTTATTAGCCAATTATAAGCTGGATAGAAACAGTTTATCAGCTAATTGTAGGCAGAGATAGGTGTGCAGCCACCTCTTTCGTCCATTTAGTTAGGGCTCCACTGAGTTTGGAAAGTTTGGTGGCTCCTTAACTTCTGGATGGCACTGTTGGTGGCATGTTGTTTAGCATGAGATGAAATAACAGGCTTATTCCAAAATAAACAGGATATTCACTTTCTTGGTTTCTGGGATCAAAATGCATAAAATATGTGTTATGCTGATCATGGTGATCATGTCTAGCATAGGAGTGATGTATGTTATTACAGTATTAATTTTTAAGTGCCTAGATTATTTTGGTTTGGCCTGGACTGAGTTTAGGGTATATAAGCTTAAGACTCAGCACATTGATCACACTGTTCAGTGCAGTGATGCCCCATACAGTGGTGGATCAATTGGAAATTGTGTGTGGCATGAAGGTGGATATGCTCCCCATACAGTGGTGGAAGTTGTTCATGTGACATGAAGCTGATAATGGTGACAGGTGATAGCCTGGTTGAACAGAATAATTTATTCCCCTTACCAAAGGCATGGATGATATTTAACATCATCTAGCCATCACTCATGCAAATGGCCATATTCTTGTTTAAGATCAGCTGTTTTATATATTTTGTAGGATGTGATGCTTCTGCATGCTAGTTTTGGATGATATGATATATGTATATATATATATATATATATATATATATGTATTAGCAAGTTTGACATGGCACAACTCCAAACTGTTTCAAACTGTGAGTTGTGCTAGGGCTTAGGATTGCAGCCAGAACTTGTGACAGGAGAGGCTACCATGATTTGGGAGGGGGGAGGGGCTCATTTTCTATGAGCAGGTCCCAGCCTCTCTGACAGTGCGTGGGCACTGAACAGACCAATAAACCTCAGAAACTCTAATAGGTCTGTCCAGTTAAGTACCTGAAGTATCAATGGGCTATCAATGTTGGTTTGCTCTTGTGCCTAAGACAACTTTTCAGCTTTCTTTTTCAGCTTTTTGGGACAACTCAGTGTGCCTGAGATCTAAAGCCAAAATAGGCTCCCTGATTGCTAATTTTGGAATTATATTTAGCAGTAACTGGGTGAAAAGCTGAGCTCTACCCTGATGAGGGTCATGAGCCTGATGAGCCTCTCTGTGGCCTGCCACTGCCAAGGTTTCAGAGAAAAGATGGTTTGAAACCAAGTTGTGGCATGGAAGACTAAGCTTTAAATGCTTGAAAGTAATTGCTTCACTTATGTGATATGCCCTGAGTATCCATGGATTATTCAATAAGGATGTGTGCCTAAGGTTAAGGTTAAGTTTTCTTCTTTCTCTGCATGCCTGTTAAAATGTACCCATGGTCTGAGATGTATCATATTATTACAATTTTTGTTTCCATTCTGTCTCATTCTTCAGTACAAGATATGATCTGTCACTGCAGCTGGCAAAAGTTGATAACTAAATTTTTTGCTGGTGCACCCACTGCTTGTCCATCACAAATTTGTACAAAGCAGTAGAATTGCAGTCCTTTAAGATTACAAGATTTAAAGGTTGATATTTAGTACTTATGTCTAGGTGTGTTTTAGCACTCTAGTAGCTCAAGTTGTGCATAAGTTTATGACAAGGATGAAGGTTGTACCATAAACATTGCACATGAACACTCACATGTATTGCTTATCTCCTCAAGCTGTGAAGGATGGGATTGTGCAGTGTTACTGACTGAAAATTGTAGAGACAGAAAAGAAAAACGTAACACCAATGTGTGCCTTCTTGTGTCATGAAGCCAGTTATTTTCCTTATCAGAGCTTACATGTCTGCAGGTTTAGAGCTATGTCATCTTCAGCAGAAGTCATGAGCACCAAGGGAGACAAGGATGCGGAGGAGCGGCAGCTGGAGAGCCTGGTGTTCGGCCGCGACACCGATCTGGTCTCGCAGCTGCAGCGGCCGGCCTCACCGGACTCGGAGCTGTCCGACACCGAGGCGGACGGCCTGTTCCGGCTGGACCGGCGCGGCCAGGCCGATGCCGACGAGGAGGCCGAGGCGCCGGCGCCGCAGTCGCGGCAGCCCGCCTGGACAGACGAGGACGATGAACAGCTGACGGTGGCCGAGGTGGCGGCCACGTTCGCGCGCGACCCGGGCCGCCGCGCTGCCGCGCCCACCGGCGCGCTGTACCGCGCCGCGCTCGAACAGCGCTTCGCGGCGGTGGTGGGCGCGCCCGACTGGGCGCGGTTGGACCGGAAGCGGCGGCGCGACAGTGACGACGATGAGGCCGACGACCTGCTAACCAAGACTGGCCGCCTGCTGGCTGCGGACGGCGCGGCGCGGCTCACCAAGGGCACGCTGCTTACCAAGCGGTGCGCCGACCTGACGGCGGCCGCGCCCGACCGGCCACGCACCGTCAGCGCGCTTGAGTTCCACCCGCGCTCGCAGGTGGCGTTGGTGGGCGGCGGCGGCCGCGCCACGCTCTCGCTGGTGCAGGTGGACGGCGCTGAGAACCCGCTGGTGCAGGCTGTGCCGCTGGACGGGTTCCGTGTACAGTGCGCCCACTTCACGCGCGACGGCCAGCAGTTGGTGGCCGGCTCGGAACGCAGCGGTCACCTCCTGTGCTACGACATGATGGTCGGGCGTACGCAGCGTGTGGAGGCCGGCCGACGGCTGGGTATGCGCGCTGTGCCGCGGCTGACTGTCTCGCCAGACGGCCGCTGGCTGGCGGTGCCGGACGCGCGCGCCGGCGCCGTCCACCTGCTGGCGGCGCGCGCCAAAGAGTGGGTCGGCTCGCTGCAGGCCAGCGGCCGCGTCACAGCGCTCGCCTTCACACCGGACGGCACGCGCCTGTTCACGCACAGCGACGAGGGCCACGTCTACGAGTGGGACGTGGCCGCGCGCGCCTGCGTGCACCGCTTTGTTGACCAGGGTTGTCTGGCCGGCTCAGCCCTGGCTTGCGCGCCCGACGGCCGGCTGTTGGCCTGCGGCTCGGCCTCAGGCGTGGTGAACGTGTACGAGACGGCGGCGGCGCGCCGGCTGCAGCACCCGCCGCCCGCCAAGGTGCTCGACCACCTGACCACCGGCTGCGACCAGCTGCGCTTCAACCACACGGCCGAGCTGCTGGCCATGACGTCAGCGCAGAAGGAACACGCCGTCAAGCTGGTGCACGTGCCGTCGATGACGGTGTTCTCCAACTTTCCCGGCTGGTCGACGGCCGTGCATGAACCGCACTGCCTTGACTTCTCCCTGCACAGCGGCTACATGGCCGTGGGCAATAACAAGGCGCGTGCACTGCTCTTCCGGCTGCAGCATTACGACAACTACTGAGCCCGGTGCGGGGCCGGCTGGCATGCGCTGCCCTTAACATGGGCTCCTGACACTGTTTGCTGATGGCAAGCGCCTTTGGAAGTGTTGAATAAAACTGCTGTGCTGGGAAAATGTTGGCTTTGTGGTAAAGCGGGTATTGTGCATTGTATGCCATCGAGTTTTAGCCTGTTATGTAGCCGGCATATTTGTATAATTCTTAAATATCCGACTAGCGAAGTGGTTTGGTTCTAATGTCACAACTCAGTTTACATGTGCAGAGAGGCAAAGACTCGCAGCGCTGCTGCGGTCAATTTCTGACGCGCAGATGACATGGCAGATGGTTTGAAATGAAACTGACATAAGTCGTGTTTTTTTACGAAAGACAGACACTCCGATTTATTGAACTGTAAGCAAATAAGGAAAAAGCTTGCCAGATGCGCATTGTATACAGATAAAGTAGGCACGGCTAGAAAAATGCGAGACAAAATGTTAGAATGGTGTCATCTAGGTAAGTGTTGGGCGTTGACAGCGAAGCGTATTAAGGGACAGAAAGGTGGCAAAATCGGTGTAAGCCTTTTCCAAGCAACATTTAGAGCTAAAGACGTTTTTTTTTCCTACGTTTAAGGCCTGTTGTCCGCTCTGTCTTTCTCACGGCATACTCTACGGTCCCTGATGCGTTGAGCGATAATCACGTGGATGCGGATTTTCCCGTCGTAGCGCTGGCGTCGACGGTTGTGGATAGTTATTTAGGATATGGTAGCAATGAATGTAAGTGAACCTGGCGTCATAGTTCCAGACTCGACGACTAAACATGCTTTGGTTTGCACGTGGAATAAGAGTGTACTGGGTGAGCTTTGTGTGGTGCAGTTTGTAGCTCTTGTATTGGTATCGACAGCGTGGATCGAGGTGTTTTTTGAGAGTTGTGTGTGGTAAGTGCCAGCATCAAGGCCCTTAAGCCATTTTGGGGGGGATGCGCAAGGAAGTGAACCATAGAAGCTGGAAGGCAATGGACATCGTCTTTGAAATGTGGGGAAGATGATTGCCCTTACACCTCAGAGATGCTGGAAACAGGTTTTGTTACTATGGCTTTCAACCTAACCATGCTGAAGATTTTTACCTTTTCTTGAAATAATGCATACATTAAATGTTTATGGCTGGCAACACTCAGAAAATAGACCTATTAGAAAATAGACCTATCTTCAAAATGAAAATTATGACAATTGTGATAGACTGGATATTGTGACAATGATGGCACAACATGGATGCATTGATGGATCAACTTTTTGAGTTTCAGTTTCTTTTTTATGTTGGTTGGTCAGGGTGTACTTTCCTACCTAACATTAGAAAAAATCATTGTACACCATTTGTCATGTTTAAGGCAGGACATATTGTGAATAATCACAAAACAGGTAGATTCATGTTCTTACCTTCAAATTCTTTATAATTACGATGGTGGGCTCCCGAGCGCCGCACACACACAGCGCCTGTGACACCGGCGCCATTACTGCACGAGGTCACAACATTACTGCACATCAAGCAGCATCAAGAACCATAAAAATGTACCCCGCCAAGGTAGCAAGAATCCATGAAAATGGATCCTCGACGCCAACAGGACGATATGGATCCTATGAACTTCCCCTATACCAGCAGTGTGTGCATCATTAATCAATAGCATTTATGTACAGTAATAGCCGAACTCTGTGAAATGCATAGCTATGTCAAGCATGTCAGCATTATCAGGGAGATGGCCATGTCAGGGGTAGCAGGGACATAGTGCAACATGTCCCTGCTACCCCAACATTCAACAACATATACATCACAGCAACACATACATTCCAGTGCATGTATGTGCAAGAATGTGATAGACTTGTTTTTGTTATTGTTTTTCAAGAAAGGGACACTGTCTTCTGGTCTAGGGTTTGAAGAGAACATAGTTTGCCCCTTGGCAGAACATCCTTGAGGATTACTTACCCATGGTGATGCTGCTCTTCTATCCATTACAGTGTTGTTGGCTTTTCAGGTATGATCAAGCATGATCTCCTCAAAGTCTCTGTCAGAACAATTGGCTGAGATCACCAATCCAGTGCCAACCATCCATGACCCAGAGGATGACATTTATGAAGGTAATTATCTTGCCAGATTTGTAAAATTAAAAATAAATGGACTTTGAAAAATGGGTACTCTTGTTGATTCTGTCATTGCCTCAAGTCAGTTGTTAAAATGTATTGTTACCATTTAGGGAATTTGCTGATCACCAGCCTGCAATGTTCAGTGGGAGGCTTGTTTTATCTTATTGTATTCACCATATATCCAATTGGTGGCCAGTGCTGCACCAGAGTGACACATTGCCCAAAAGTCACAGCATCTCAGTTAGCAGCTGCTGTCTGCCCTGCACATGGCCCATGGTGCTAAAATTGGCACTGGCCCACCGCAGAGACAAGGGCGCAGGTGCTGGACCGCGACGCCGAGCTACCGGCCGACGAAGAGGTGGTGCCGTCCCGGCTGCGGCAGCGCGCGGCCGCCCTCCTGCCCGACACCGACCCGCGCTATGCTGGCCGCACTGTCTCCCGGTGAGTCTTCCAGGGGTCCACAATCTCCTGGTGAGTCCGCCAGGCGTGCGTCGTCTCCTGGTGAGCTTCCAGCGGTGCGTCTTCTTCCAATGAGTGAGCCAAGGATGCGTGTCTCCCGGTGAGTCTGCCAGGGGTCTGCCTTCTGACGGCGGGTGTGCCAGGTGTGCGCTGTCTCCCAGCGAGTCTGGCAGAGGTGCTCCACCCCCAGATGATCTCCAGGTGTTGCACCATCTCCCGGTGGGTTTGCCAGGGCTCTCAGCATTTCTGCCAGGGTTTCAAAGAGGGAAGGGTGTTTTTCAGAGACAGCACTTGCCTGCTGTCTGAGCTGCATGGGGTCTGTCGTCGCCGATAACGTCTCTTTGTGCTGCCTAGTGCAGGGTGCTCTTGTTCGGGCCAGTTAAAATCCCTAACGTGTGTATTTTCGATGATTATAAAATATCCGGGGTGAAGTAATAGAAAGTTGGAAGGGAAAGCATGAAGACCTTACACCAAAGGGCTTTTCTCACATGTTGTCAAGAACAGAACGCAATGGAAGGAAATATTACAAGCAAGCGTCAAAGGATTAAGAGCAGTGACTCGTCCGCGGCCTCCACCTCGCGCTATGTCCGACACGCGTCAGGGTCGGCTGCAGCTGCCCCTGGCAGCGGGCAGGCGGACTGACTGGCCCCGGTACCGGTCGGTCGGCCCGCCCCTATACACTGGCGGAGGAGCGGGCGGCACCGACTGGCCCCGGCACCAGTCGGTCGGCCCGCCCCTGTACACTGGCGGAGGAGCGGGCGGCACCGACTGGCCCCGGCACCAGTCGGTCGGCCCGCCCCTGTACACTGGCGGAGGAGCGGGCGGCACCGACTGGCCCCGGCACCAGTCGGTCGGCCCGCCCCTACGTGCTGGCGGAAGGGCGGGCGGCACCGACCGGCCCCGGTACCGGTCGGTCGGCCCGCCCCCGTACACTGACGGAGGAGCGGGCGGCACCGACTGGCCCCGGCACCAGTCGGTCGGCCCGCCCCTGTACACTGGCGGAGGAGCGGGCGGCACTGACTGGCCCCGGCACCAGTCGGTCGGCCCGCCCCTGTACACTGGCGGAGGAGCGGGCGGCACTGACTGGCCCCGGCACCAGTCGGTCGGCCCGCCCCTGTACACTGACGGAGGAGCGGGCGGCACTGACTGGCCCCGGCACCAGTCGGTCCGCCCGCCCCTGTACACTGGCAGAGGAGCGGGCGGCACCGACTGGCCCCGGCACCAGTCAGTCCGCCCGCCCTTACGTGCTGGCGGAAGGGCGGGCGGCACCGACGGCTTGGAAGCGCACAGGCTGTTTTGAAGTCGTTTTGATGTGACGAGAGCACCTGAGAGTGATTCAGCGATTTTGCTCCGTCGTCGACGCTTGCTAGGTACTGTAGAGAAGGGAATGGGTTTTCTTGCTTGGTGAAATGGAGAAGCGCGGAATAATTGGAGATGTTTGATTGAAAGGTTTGAAATGTAGCACATCGAAACGGGACAATTACGAGGGTATTGTACTGCAGTGTTGCCCAGGCTGTCACATTAGCAACTAGGGGTGGGGGCCTTTTCAGTGTTGAATATATGGACATATCGTTATGTTGAATCGGATCTAAGATGGCAGCATATAATTTTAACAGTCTTAAACCGTTGATGTGACGTTTTGGAAATTGTGCTAGCTGAATTGGAAAACTATCCTGTGAAGGTTTTGTGCCAGTTTCCCCAGTTATGGATTCAAGCTGGTGCTTCTACCGCCTGGTAGTTTCCGGGATAAATGCATGTTTGGGTACGTTGTTCTGTGTATGCGCACCGGAAGGAAGAGGGGCAGGGTGTGTATGTTTCTGTATAATGTTCGTGTGCTGTGATGTCTGGTTTCGAGGAATGTTTCTCATATTTCGTGGTATACGTGTCGCATATCGAGCTGTTTGTGACGTCCGGCCTGCGCATGGTATTCGTCATGTTTCGTGTGCCGTAACGAATACATACCAGGCTGGCTAAGACATGGACACACATAACCCCTTATCACTGACGCGTTGCCCTTCTAACCAGCGGTTGGGGGGAGCCAAAGGATGCATTGAAGGCGTTGAAGGGGTGACGGTTGCACATCCGTCTGGTGCGCGGAGGGGTGGTGCAGCTGCAGTGCTCGAAGGCCACGGCTGCCAGCGCGACTGTGCCCGCTGATCTTCGGCCACCGACACGCCTCCTCGCAGGAGAAGCCTGCTGTCTGCCAGCGACGGTGAGGACTCGGCGGCCGGCTCCAGCGACGGCGGCGGCGACAGTGACGCGCCCGGCGACGAGGAGGACAATGACGACGAGGACAACGAGGATGAGGACCAGCTGGAGGCGTTCAAAGCCAGGCTAAACGGTGCCGGCACGGACACCGGCGGGCTAAGGTGGGCGCCAGAGGTGCTGTTGATTTCTGAAACAGCCGGCGAGCTCATTTTGGAGCGGGAATGTTCAGAGCAGGAGTGTGTCCCGTCCCGGCAACGCAGCTGACGGCCGTCTGCCGAGAAACGCACGGCCGCCCTCTGAATGGCCCCACGCTCTCGCGCGGGAACGCGGGTCGAGGCGCCGACGCTCGGACACCTGTCGCGGCCAAGCCATACCCCGGCGTGACGTCACCGTCCTGGCCGCCGGTCGGGGACGGGGCAGTGGGCGGGGCAGGCACCAGCGGTGTCGCGCTGCCTGGCTCGACCCCCGCTGCTCCGGGGAACACGCGAAGGCGCACCGACTTATGTGGCAGGCTTTAATATCAGAACTGCGGCATTCAGTCGCTGGTTGAACGCCGCACGCAGTGGACCTCAAAGGGCGAAACTTTAAGATGGCGCTGACCAAATGTATAGTACCGTTGTTGGGACACTGTGAAGCTCAACCTCTCAAGCAAAATGCCTCGCCTTTTAAGGGTATCGTATCGAGTAAAGTAACTAACTAACAAAATACGGATAATCAAGCCACAGTTGGACCTTTGATCATCTAGCTACCGCGCGGTGAGACACGAAAAGGTCATTCTATGTCGCCTGGGAATGGGCCACACATATGCAACACACAGCTATCTTTCGGCGATAGACCCCTATGCCCCAGGTGCAGTGCGCCACTGACTTCGCCACATTATCCACTCTTGTCCACATTTCATGGGAAAGCGCCACAAAGCTTCCTTGCTGAACTCTAGTCAGCTGTTTTCATTTTTGTGGACGTCAAGTGTTCAGTAATTTTATTCCTTTTAATTGAAAAAGCGTTACACTTCCTAACTTTAGCTGTGGGCGCAAAATGACCTCCGCCGTTGACGCGCCCTTGAACTCAAATAATAATAATCATCATCATCATGATGGTTGACTTCTGCCACCGCTGCCAAGCCCTGCCGCTCAGCGGGACACAGTGCCACCGCAGGGGCAGCCCCCGATCAGCGAGACGTGGCTTCACCGCCACCTGGTTACCAAACATACCCGGGGACAGTCCCGAACGGGTCGGGCACGGCAGGGTATGTGGCGCCACATGGCTAGGTCCGGCCTGCAGACCGTTTAGGGATTCACATCCAGTAATGGGCGCTTGCTGTTTGGTACGTCGATCGGAATCTTTGCGTAGCTTCCGGGGTAACATCGTCAGGCTAGTTTGATAGACCGAATGGCAAACCATGGGCTTCGCTCCCGGTTTTCCTGGTGTTCGTGCATTTCCTATCCGGTACCAAATTAGGTGCCTGTCTAATAACGGAAGTGTAAAGAGGGTTTTTCTTGCTTTGTTATGCCAACTCCGTCATACGCTGTTAGCTTGTAAATCTTGGCAGGTCTTTCGTCACGTATGTTATATCTTTATATATGTTTTCGGTTTGGAAATTGTAAAAGAAGTTCTCATGGTGTGCTGAACTTTCCATCATCAAACATTCCAACCAGTCTGTTGGGAAATTATGTAGAAAAAGTGAAATGAATGATTAAATGTTTCCACGTTGACAACTTCACAAAGAAAGCATCTCGGGGAACGAAGGGTGGGACCTGAGTATGAGTAACGTTGGCCTTCATCACGAGTATCACGTTCATCCCGCTAGTCAGCTGGTTGGAGCTCCGGCCTGACGATCGCGCCCCCGATGACGGGATGGGTTCGAAACGCCTCAGACCCTGGCTATTTGCCCTTCAATGGAATGGTCAGTGGCCGTTGACAGTGGTCACGCTAAAGGTCAGGTGACGCCCTCGGGCAGGACGGGCTGATCCGAACAGTGCAGCGCGTTGAAGGGAACGTTCCACATTTGAGGAGGTTGAATAAAGCTTCAGATATGATGAGATCAGCCCACTTGTAACTATTGGTATGCGTAAGAAGAACAGACTGCTCTCAACGACAAAATTTAGCTTGTTAGTAAATATGCTCCTCAGTACGTCATGGTTGGATTGCGCCATGGAACGTGCATATGACGCCGATGTGCTGCCAAACCAGCCACGTGAAATTGCCACCCTAGCAATTATTTGCAGCGCTTCAAACTCGCCGAGAGGTGGCAGTACGGTGCTGAACGTGTTCGCTGGGCCAAATAGCAATAGGTGCTGGTGTTTTGGCCCTATCTTGTGGTGCTGTGCGTATTTATCCGTGAGTTTAAGATGTTTTCTTGTTCACACACTCGGTTATGGTGCTTTTCTTAGTTATTCTATTACAAGCCTCATTTTCGAGATACTAGCAACCATGCCACAATTTTCTACGATATATATATATATATATATATATATATATATATATATATATATATCACATATCACAAACCGTGAAACCGTGATTCGTGATTGAAATTTCCACAGCTTACTCAGCATTGATCGAGAGGTAGTTGGCGTCCACTCTATTTGGAAATCGTGCTCACGGACGCCGGATCTGGACGGCTCGACGATAATATTTGTCCTGGCCTGGAACGCCGCATGGCCTATGGGATGACAGGATTTCTTTATGTTGCTATGGCGTCATGCATGCCTGAATGGCCTTGAAATAGTCTGCAAGAAAAGTCTGCACTCCTTCGCGGATTTATACCTCAGAAATTGTAGGGTTTTAGGACTGAAGGGGGCAGCGCTGTGGGCTGCACCGAATATGCTTCAAAAGGACCAGTTTAGTTCAAAATCCCATACAAATGTGGGAGACTCCCTTTTTATGGGCGCCATATGACCAACGTAGCCGGTGCGCCCCAAAGCCCAAATCATCAGCATCGGGACACTCCCTTTAAACTTACTCCCTTTTACACCAAATTCTGCCGTCAACCTGGAATTTCACGTCGGATGGTGGGATCCAGAGCTCACGCTACAAATACTACACAGTGTTGGTTGTGATCCCAGTCATACATCTATTGGAAATGTTCGGACTGATCTTCAAGCAGTTGAATATGTGCGTGCATGACTTTCCGTCACCTCCCCTGTCATCGGAGATCAGCCGTCCCTTGCCATCGGAGGCTAAATCTTCGGTATAATGCTGCTGCTGGGCTCCTTCTTAACTGGCCGCGAGAAATGGTTGCAGGTCATTGTAATATGCAAAGCAGAACGAAGTGGCCAATAAAGAATGAACAAGGGAGGCCTCTCGGCAGGGGTGATCGATCATGGATCAAGAGATGATTCTGTATAACAAAATGTGGACGCATTGGACAGACCGCAGGTGGTCGTGCAATTGTCGTTTAGCCTTTGCGAAACGCGGCAAGCTTTTTCGTCCTTTTTCATGAAATCGCAGAACTAATGTAAGACTGGTTAAAAACAGTAGTTGTCCTAATGAACCGCTTAACCTTACTCACTTCGTAGCAGTCCAATTAAGGCAGAATCATGCCCCGGTCTTCGAAACGCCTTTGTGGCGAGCAGAGCCATCTTACTGTGCTAAGCATTCTCATTTCTTTCTGCTTTTAGTTCCCACCTGTTTTTAGCACAGCATTATTAGTCAGACGTTGGGCGGAGCGTGTTGCTGCACTTGTAGCCCACATTTCCATGACGTGCTCGGGCAGCTGGGTCATTGTATTCCTATTCTGGGACTTTGGTGTCATCTGGGATTTCGGGGAAATGTGGCTTATGGGATTGTAACCAGATATGAGCACGATTTTGGAAAGGTAGAGCGATTTGAACATTTTCCTAATTTTAGAAGCTCTTCCATGTTTTGAGCAAGAAAGGAATTTTGACGACTATGTCCAATGAAGTGTTTGCCACAGAGTCGTTAGACCTCTGCCCGATCTCGCCGGACTTCCGCTCAATGTCGTGAGACGATCCGGTCGGCGGCCCCCCGCGCCGTTACGGGACCCGTCACCTGCCGCGGACCGCCTGACCGTGCCCTGACCTGACTGTGACCCGCAGCCCGGACGACGCGGTGGAGACAGACTCCGAGGAGGCGGCCGAGAGCCAGCCGGGCCCGGCGTCCGAGGGCGGCACGGACGAGGAGGCCGGCTCGGAGGACGAGGAGGCCGGATCAGAGGGCGA